TGCCCGTGTCCAACAGAAAGATGGCTACCGGCAGGCATCAATTAAAACGGCCATGCATCCGCAATTAGGTAATCGTGCAAGGTGAGATCACATGAGCGCATGGGCGATGACATCACGGCGGGCTGTCACCCCGTCTGACACAAGGCCTCGGGATGACCCTGCCCTCATAACCCCTTTTTGCATGGATGGAGGAATTATTTTTTTGGCTAGTTTTTAATTTATTAGCAGCTTAGGTCTAAATTGTTTGTGGGAAATTTATGCCATGCCGATACCCACTTCATTTGTGACCCACTGACCTCAAGGCAAATGTCAACAAGGAATCAATCACATTGTGCACATGCAAGAAACCTCTTGTACCTAGCCGGGCCCTCAGGTTACGGTTTACCAAGGGAGCCGTTTCCTCCGTATAATTATCCCAAGGCTCCTAGGATGGAATGACAAGCTCCAGAATCATACAATATCTTGCCCAATGTTCAGCCATGTCCCTACAGTTATATCCCCCATCATGTTTTCACAGAAGAGACTGATCCATGCATTAAAACTTCCACTGTATGGCTGAGGATTGCATGAAACAGATCCCCAAAATGTCAGGAAAATTAAATATAGGGTGCTCTGCCCAAAGGCCAACTGCAGTCTCTTCACTAAAAACCTCATGCAAGAACCTTCATGGAGACCTACAGCTCTCTACGCAGTGATACAATACCTTGCATCGCTCTTCCAGGAGGAGCGAGAATGCCCACTTGAACAAAAACCGATACCGTAGCCTAGCAACAGCATCCTAAGTCAGGTTCTCAGGCTGCCAAAATAATTTGTTTCCCGATGCTGGGAGATTGCACTGCCAAACTAGTATTGGCTAAGAAAGTTAGCGAATGAACACATTCTTAGCGTATTTTTGGTATTCACACCGCCTCCAACGGTGCTAGAAAAGGGAAAGTTTAATGGTCATGCCGAGACCAATACAGGACAGTACTTTATGGCCAGTTTGCCTCCAGAGATCTTCATGCCCATGTACTTTTGTTGTCCTTTAAAGTGGAACTTTACCCCCATCTTTAAAATAACAAACACCATTAGAAATGTTCAGTAATGACAATCTACAATTCTCTTTTCTTTCCCAGTCTTCTGTCAGTGGCCATGTTTACTAAGGGCAGGTTACTAGATCTTATACTTCCTGGATTTCTGGCACATGTGACCAGAATTCGATATGTCCCATCGCACTCCTGACCGGAAAGTCCCAATAAAACAGGGTGGGTGCAGCAGTGACAGCAGATGCCTCTGCAAATCTCAGGAGACCAGTAAAGTTACTTGCACTCCAAAGCGATGCCAAGTCAATTTCTTTATTGATTATGGTAGTGTAACATTTCAAAGTGACGTTTTGGAACCCAGTGGTCCCTTCAGGCTTCTTGTTTGCCTGAAGGGACCACTGAGTTCTGTAACATCGCTTTGAAATGTTACACTACCATAGTCAATAAAGAAATTGACTTGGCATCGCTTTGAAGTGCAAGTAACTTTACTGGTTTCAATAGACATGTGAGCATGCACATCATCTCCGGTGAGATTACAGATAAGATTTCCCAGCAATACTCTGCTCATAAGGCAATCCCAGTGTGCAATGCTTTGGCAGATTGAAGTTATTTGCACTTTCAAAGCAGGAAGTGAATGCTCTGCAAGTGTAAGTATTTCATAATCAAGGGATTTCATACCCGACATCTTTGTTATTAATCATCATACATATAGAGGGATGCATTGGTAGAATTTGATTTGAGTGTAAAGGTCTGCTTTAAATACTTTGCTGCTAGGATCAGCGCACCTACACCGAGAGCAGGGTATGCAGTCCTGAGAAACCACTGGGATGTTTCCATAAGCTTTTATAAAAAGGGGCAAAGAGCTCGTTTGGAACTCAAAACTAAAAGCAAGTGACATCAACTACCTCAAAAAGGAAAACAGAGCACAAATAAAAATCTACACACCACTGTAAAAATGGCAGGTTTTTCAGATGAGAAAAAAAAAAAAGAAAATCAGACCAAAAGAGAGCAGATTATTCCCCCGCCTTCATTGTGACCTATAATCTATCCAATTCAATTAAAAACAAACTGAAATCTTTAAAAGTGGGAAAAACACACCTTACAAATACCATGGTTGCATAAATACGCACACCCTTAAACTAATACTTTGCTAAAGTACCTTTTGATTTTAGGACAGCATTCAGTCTTTTTGGGAAGGAGTCTAGCAGCTTGGAACATCTTGCTTTGGGAATCTTTGCCCATTCTTCCTTGCAAAGCGCTCCAAATTTGTCATATTGCGAGGTCATCTCCTATGCACAGCCCTCTCTAGGTCACCACAGACTTTCAATTGGATTCAGGTCCGGGCTTTGGCTGGGCCAATCCAAAACTTTGTTCTTTTGATAAAGCCAATCTTGTGTTGATTTAGAGGTATGCTTTGGATCAATGTTGTGCTGAAAGGGGAAATCCCGCCATCTTTTTAGCAGAGGCCTGTAGGTTTGGTGCCAAAAGCGACTAAAAATAGTCCCTCCACCATGATTAAAGCACCAGATGCACTTGAAGTAAAAACAGCCCCAAAGCAAAATGCTGACACCACCATGCTTCACTGTGGGTATGGTGTTCTTTTGGGGATGTGCAGTCTTGCTGTTATGTGAGGTAGCAAGGCGGAAGCCTTTTTTCTACCAAGAAAAACATCCAAGCTCGGCTACATTTCGCAAAAACCTACATCAAGTCTGAGAAAAGAATGTGGGAAGGTGTGTTATGGTCTGACGAGACCAACATTGAACTTTTTGGGCATAATTCCAAAAAGTAGGTTTAGTGCAAAACCACAGCGCATCGCCAAAAGATGCGCATGCCCTTACCATGGTGGCAGCATCAAGCTTTGGGGTGATGGGGTGAAGTTAAGAGGGCTTCCATACCCACAGTGAAGCATGGTGGTGGCAACATTATGCTTTGAGGTTGTGGGGTGACGTTAAGAGGGCTTTGCACAGGAGACTGCCGTCAGCAGATAACTTTAAAACCGTATTTTCACAAGGTGGAAAATGTTGTGCCCCATGACTGGAATAATTCCAGTCCAAAGGTTTCTAGAGCTGACGTTTTAATTACATTTGCAGCCATATAAGTTCCCAAAGTCTACATATAAAGCCACACAGTTAGGAAGCATAACTCCCACCATCAACTGGTACACTTCCTGAATGCTCCAGGTGCCTGTGGTAAGTATATTCTCTAAAAGGAGAAATTGTCAGATTGGCTCATAGGGAACGGTCAGGGCCTATCCCATGCTCTTACTGTGGCAGAGCACCTAGGATGCCAACACTGTGTCCGCCCCTTACATGACAAGCAATATGGCTAATGAACATGGTCACCTGTGGGAGAGTTATACATCAATCCCACACTCCTCTCTGATATGTATTTACACACACACACAAAATTGTGTGTATCTTCCTGCACTCCTTACCGGATCTCCTAGGAGATGAGGTCTGTAATAGGGTGCTTGTAGCGACCACGGAGGCACCGTGTAGTCAAGTAGTAATTCCAAAAGATGTCACCAGCACTCCAAAAGTAGAATATATATAATATATATATATATATATATAGTGAAGGTGCAAGGTGCTGGTGACATCTTTTGGAATTACTACACACACACGTTCTAGCATCACTTCTTTTACTTGTCATAACCTGGGTTAGACCTTTCCTTGATGGATACAGAAATGATCTAACTAGACAGGAAGGCTGTGGATCTTACCCCAAAAGTCAGGAATGTCAAGCCTTGATAAAGTGAAACCAGGAACATAGCAATACATTAAGGACTTTGATGGCTAACAAAAAGGTAATAGGCACCATGTGTTGCCCCCTTTTAAGGGAGATTTTAACAGGTTTAAAATAGCAGACAGGTAAGCTCATCTTTGATATTAGATAGGAAGGAAAACACTCCCACCTGTCCCCCTCAAGTTTGCAGAATAGTGAATGTGAACCTGCATATCAGATCTCTATAGGATTTCTAGCAGCATCACAGGCATTTAACAAGCTGCCCTAACCCTGTATGCCTTGGGCTGAGCACAAGACCGCTTCTGGGGGTTCACTGAACACCTTCATGCTGCATCCCCGCAGTATATACCACCGCGGGGCTGTTTTGCTATGCACACATCCTAACAAGACACATTGTTCAACACATGAAACAAAAACCTGCGCATACAGAATTACCATCCCGTTTAAATGGACCCTATAAGCATTGGGAAGGTGCATGCCCCAAATGCACTATGTGCAACACGATGCAGTCGGGGTTGGGGTACCCTCTTAAACCTTTAAGCTGGCCGTACATGTGGCTATTTTATAGACCCTACAATTCCGAACTTCAGTTGCAATAAAATAAAAGCTTTGGTCAACCACAAGGAGATGGGAGTGAATTTTCTCCAAACAATGAGGGGGAACAATCCAATTGCTTGGGATTAAATAACTGCCCCCTTCCCTTTTGAGCCCATGTCAATTCATTTGGTTAATAATCTGTACTGAAGCTGTCAATTTATTGTCAAGTTTGACTTCACAATGGACCATATTCTGGTGATGAAACTTGTGGGAGAGACTGCTTGGTTTCCTGCAATTCCATGTGGATCGAAAAGGATAAAACGGACTGAAAATGGTCACGTGTATGGCCAATTTCAATGCAAGGTCCTAATTCAGTCCAAAGTGCACAGATAATCATAAGGAGAGCAAAAAGGAAAAAAAAAAAAAAGAGAAAGCATTTAGTTTATGTGGTCTATTGTATAAATACATACATTGATGGGACCCCAAACTTTGACCTCACAGGCCTGCATCAATTTAAGGTACAGATTGCAGCAAGGTAAATGGGCAGGTATTCTATTTTGGGCAGTAAGTGATCACACAAACACGAGGTCAGTACTTAATTTACCTGTAACAATACATCACAGACATAACACCTTGTTAGTGTTGTGAATGTCCAATATCAAGCAATAAATGTGTACAGCCCGGTCTCAAACTTACATGGTCTCTCCGGTTTTCGCCACATGGCAGAGAAACTGATCCAGTTCTGGATGGGATTCCTTCTTTCCTTTCTTCTCAAATTCTGGAGAAAAAAAAAAATGGCATCAAAAAGGAGTTTTTCACCCCAGCAAATCACAGCTTAGAAACTGTCGACACGCAGATTTGTGGAGTGTAATGTTCGAATTTCATGATTCAGTATAAGGCTAGACGGCACGATTGCCGTGCGGTCAGGAGCCGCCAACGTGTGAACCGATCGCGCTGCAAGTGCCATTATTTTCTAATGGCTTTTAGGATGTAAGCCCTCAGGGGCAGGGCCCCCCTTACCATCTTGTCATGAATTGCGATTGTAATGTCTTCCTTATATTGTAAACCGCTGCGCAAACTGTTGGCGCTATATAAATTATGTATAATGATAAATAATAATGGCACCCCAGTCCCGTCGTGCTTCCGAACACAGCCGCGCATCGTGTATCGCTGCGATTGCCACGCGGATGTCACCACATTTAAATCAAAGGGGATGGGCGCCAATCTCTGCCTGCATTGTACAGGACCACGTGATCCCTGGACGCGCGTCCTGGGTGTCGTGCAGGTGTGAACCTAGCCTTAAGCAGCCAGAGGGCTCAAAAAGGTGAGAGGACTACACAACAGCTCCAGTCTAAACGGAAACACCCAACAAACCTCTAAATAATATTTGATCATCATTTACATTTAGTTGACACACACTCAATTTTGTCTTAGTTACTGAATAAAGGAGGATGTGATCTCCAAAACCAGAAGTCCATAACAGACTCCAACTGGATACCCTACTACGGCCCTATAATCCCTTGCCCAACTGTCTAAAGCAGAAGGAAAAATCCAGACTTCCAGCTAGGGTGAAACTACAAATACCAACAATGCATCTGCCTCTGGGAGTCCTAACTGTGGCTGTGGGCTGGTATCCTAAATTTTTACAATGCAAGGCACCGTTTACTTTTTTTTTAAACTAAATTTAAATGTCATAGAAATGGATGGAGACTTGAGGTGCAGAAAAAGGCAGGACATGTTTATTTGTCTACACCTCTCAACTTCATTGTGGTGTGAACTGAGCAGATAGAAAACAACTCAAAAAATATATATAAAAAACCCAAAACCACAGTCTTTCAGTGGCGCTACCCCCGCAGTGCAAGGTTTAAGTGCTTGTTTTGTCTGGGAGGGGGGGGGGGGGGGGGTCAAATAAAGCAGATATACCTCAGTTCTGTCAGGCTGTTAGACCGGTCCCCCACAGCCTCTTCTCCCCTGGGCTTCGAGGGTCTAAGGACCACTGACATCACGTCTAATGCAGGTCCATTGATTTTCAGAAGACCCGAAGATGCCGAAAGACATTCCACCGCCGGAGTGGAGGGGAGAGGTGAAATGCTGACCGAGGATCAGGTGAATACATCTGTTTTATTTGACCCCTTACAAATCAAGCACTTAACTCTTGCAGTGCAGGGAGGTAGGCCCACTGCAAGGGTACATTTTTTAAATTCCTGAAGTTCTTCATCGTCACTACTAGGGAAGAACAGATACTAGTACTCGGGGAAAATACCCCCGATGGACGCTTACATTTTTTTTTTTTTAAAGGGTTTGGCTGACTGATGTCCCACGCTTGCTGAGGACCTCACGGCAGCTGTCTTCAACAGCACTGGTCCAGCCGCACATTGCAGCCTCCTCTTCCGCAAGACCCCGAACAGCCTGGAGAGACGCTGCAAGCAGGCATAGGGAGAACGCACAGCCCCGGAGAGAATGCACTGTCCTATTGAGACAAGACGCAGCCCCGGGGAGCATGCACAGACCTATTGAAACAAGACACAGCCCCGGGGGAACATGCACAGACCTATTGAGACAAGACGCAGCCCCGGGGAGCATGCACACACCTATTGAGACAAGACGCAGCTCCGGGGAGCATGCACACACCTATTGAGACAAGACGCAGCCCCGGGGGAGATGCCGCACGCAGCCACAGGGGAGCAACAGAGCAGAGTGCTTAATATTATTCTGCATTGCTGCATAATGTTTTGCAAGGATTTACAGTTCTTCTACAGCTTGAAGTCAGAGGCAGAACGACCAGGGCCGCAATACAGATTAATGTCCTAAAATCATTATTCTTTGTTTTAGAAAAAAAAATTTCACATGAGAACCCCCCCCCCCGCGCCCCCCCAAAAAATGCATAAGCATTAGTAGTCAGTTTGAAAAAAAAAAAAAAAGGATGGTATCGGTGCATCCCTAGTCACTACTTTGATTTCAGGTTCCATCATTCAGCGACCCAGTGCCACAGTCTCATGTGGCACCTATACTGCCAAGGTGTAAGGATATTCGCTTCCTTCTGTCAGCCCCTATGTCACAGTATTGAGGTAAGTGCTGGAGGAAGGAACGAAAGAGCTTCAAAGTAGAGCAGCCATTTGACTCACCCAGAAAAGCGTTGGGTGCAGAAAATACTTAATCATGCTTTGCGCACAAGTGAGCAAAGATCAGCGGTGCAGGCAGCAGGACAGGTATCTTTATTTGAAAGGAGGAATTTTAATGTAGAGGCAAAGGTGCTTTTTAAAAGGGAACCTGTCGGCCATTTTTATAAAAGTAAAAACCCAGACTAATAGCAGCACCGCGGTATCTGATGTGGGCGCTTCTGACCCTGGTTTCACTTACGGTGGAGCTCAACTTCATTGCCTGAAGCCAACACTCCCCCTATTATGCACCCTCCAAAAAGTGCTTCACTGATTAATAAGAGCTCTGAGCTCAAGGGGCAAAGCCTCACCCCAAAGGCTGAGACGTCAAGACCAAGATTTAAAAAAAGCAAACAGCAGTGAGGTGCTCCAGTCACATCCTTGGCCCCTCATTGCCAACAAAACGCCTTGTATTCTTCAACGAAAAGTTCTATGATTAGAAGGAGAGATGATGTCACATCCCCCCCCCCCCCCCCCATTTACAGAACACCTTGTATTCTTTCAGATAAACAAGACATTTTGTGAATGGGCAAGTAGCGAGGAGAGGCGGTGAGGTGACTGGAGCACTTCACTGCTTGAGTTGCATCCCTCACTCCCCCCAACTCACACCTGTGTGGAATGTGTAATTTTCTTTTCCTGAAGTTTGGCAATAACTTGTCGATTTTGGAATGAAGTTTATTTTCCATCACTACAATACATAAATGATAGTTAACCCCTTAAGGACAAAGGCCTTTTTTTCATTTTTTGCACCCATGTTATATTCCACATCTTAGGCCTGAAAATTACTTAAAACCCCCCAACATTATATATTTTCTGAAAGCCAAGATACTACAGAATAAAATGGTGGCAGATGCAAAATTTTATGTGGCACGACATTAGCGCGACTTATCAAACCCAAAAGTTTAGTGAAAAATGCACTTAAGTTAAATTTAGTGCCACAAAACACAATAAACAAACAACATTTCTTTGGCAAAATATAAAAGATGACGTTACAACGAGTAAACAGATACCCAACATGCCCAGGTTACAAATTGTGTGCGTCTGTGAAACTGCGACAGAGTTCAGTACCCCAAAAAGCCCACAGACAGCGATTTAAAAGCCCCCACAGGTCATCAGTTTAGAGATACATGTAAATATTGGCCCTAGAGTTATTGGTTTCCCTCCGGCATGAGCGGCGATACCCAACATGTGTAGCACAATCGTCGTTTTCGTATATAGGTGCACCCGACGCGCGTTTATGTGGCAACGCGCGTGCTCGCAATTGCCTTAAAAAATTTTTATTTTTACATTTAATTTATTTGTGATGAAGAGATTTTCTTTTTCCTCGCAACAACCAGAATGCATTGTTAAGCCGGCTTGTGCCGGTACTGCTGGGGGAGGGGGGGGAGCAGAATCCCGGGAAATGTTAAAGGAAAGCAGGCGGAGAGAGAAAAATGCCAATGTCTCCAGCTACACCACACTATCAATCACACCCAGCTCACACAAGGTTTCTAAAAGGCACACCCTTCTCGTCTGTCGTGCAAACGCACAACCCCCCACCGGCCTTGGCGAGATGGATAATTACACTGAACTCTTTCCCAAGCAGGGCAGAACACTAGCCCGGTCTTCCTCCGCCAGCGACTGTCCCGATTCGGGATAGTCTTATCACAATGTATTCCCATAGAAACAACGCAGGGGCGCAGATCACCAAAACAAACACGAAAACCCAGAGCAAGGAAAAAATTCCTGCAAGTTTCCCAACTGAAGGCTATAACGTGCCGACATTGAGGAATATATTTCTAAGACGATGGAAAGGAGAACGGCGGCGCCCTCTGCAGTCATCGCGTTACTAGTCATTACCCAACATGGAGTATACAGGGGGTTTAACCGGCATTTGAGGGCCCATTCACAATACAGGGTCCTGCTAAACACACATGGTCAGTCACTCTGAACTGCACCCCAATGCACCTCCTGGTGGGCATGCGTTGTAGAGCTATACAACATGCATTGCCGTGCAGTGATAGTACATGCATTACTTTTTCACAGCACAGCAACGCATGTTATTGGAGTACTGCCTTGCACTACAATGTACACCTGTTGGGAGGTAGATTGGGTTGCCACTGAGAATCAATAGCAGCCCAGCGCACCTAGTACATGGATCCATGCACTAAGCGCACAGATCCCGAACATTTAGCAAAACACCATAGCGTGACTAGGCCCTCCAACGCACATGAAACAAATCAGAAGACTGCCATTTACCTCAATGGTAGAGTATGGATGACAACCTGTTTGACATGCATTGAGCGTCTCTGAACACATACATTGCAGCCTTTTGCGGTCAAACACATTTGCCTGAGCAGCGTTGCATTATGCGTACGAAAACTCCTCCTCTCCATCTTGAACACTATTACTTTAAACAGGAAAAACAACGCACTATAATGAAACCAAAGCAGACCGCAAAATAGTACAAGCGCGATAATATGGCAGATTACGCACGTTCGCGGCTAAATAGCAGCAAAACATGAGCAGAATCCGTGCGGATGAAAGATCCCGCGCGGGAAACGCAAACGCTGTATGTGAATGGAGCCTTAAAAGGGGCGGCTGTTACAGCCAACATGCCCAAGTACTTGCAATGCCT